GTTAAAAACAAACAAACAAAAAAACCCTGACCAAACAAATAAAAAAAAAAACAAAAACACCTTTCTCCATGAAACTACTTCTGAGTGATACCAGAATTACAATAAAAGTAACCAGGGATGGTAAAGTAGAAAATTGTACTACTTTTTATACTAAATACACCTTTGCAATTTTGAGCACATTATCAAAAAAAAACTTAGTTGCAACTGTATCCCTGCCTACCTCAACTTTTACCAATATATGCTCTAAAGAGAAAAGTCAAGTTTTATACAATTTTGATGACTGTTACTTAATGACAGACAGGAAGAAAACACAAGGTAGTATTTGCAGCCCCAGCAGCTGCCAAGGTAAGTGGTTATGACATAGTAAACTTTGTTAGCTTTCTCCCAGGTCTGTGTATAACACAGGGTGACCGGTGAGGCCATTCCAGTGTCTCTTACACACTTCTGTCAATATTAATCTTTTTCCCCCAGCTGGGCCAAAATGTCTAACTTAACTTCTCCTGTCATTTTAGCATATGAACACAAAGAGCCTTTCCTTTCATGTGGATTTAATCTGAAAACTCTCCTTTACTTTCATTATGGAACTCCAGCATTAGTAATGACATCTAAAGTAGAGCAAGTGTTTACCTCTGCACCAGACAATATTTGAAATCCTATAAAACAAGGAGACCGCACAAACCTTCTCCATACTAACAGAGCTTTGCTAGTGAAAGCAAGTTTTGCAAAACTCACAGCGAATTGGCATATTCAGGCCTCTTGGTTACTGTGAAAGTGCAAATGAGCCTACCCTCTCTTCCAGGGTATTTCTAAAAACTCAGTTTTGGAGAGAAACTCTATGAGCAAGACTGCATTGCGCTGGGCTCCGCTCTGCCTGGCTCAAGGGTGAGAAAATGCCGTGTTACCTCCATGGGAAACAGAAGGCATGGCCCAGATGAAGCTCCTCAGCAGGTGCCCATAAGGGCAGGACCAGCGCTGGCTCCCAGTGTGCCTTCAGGTTTGTGTAATTTGTTTCCATAAAGCTCTGACAGTATTCAGTAGGGAACTAAAGGGCAACATCTTTCAAAACTGCATCATGTATACAAACTGCAATACTTGACATGTCTAGCATGTGCTATTCAAATAAAACCCAGAAATGCCATACAAGCTCATTTAGAGTCAGAAGTTCAAAATGAGAGAAAAAAAAAAAAAAAAAGGGTAACATTACTTGTAAGATGAAAACAGTATTATAGTGGGAGATCGCTTTTAAAGCCAAACACAAAAAAGTTTATTTCATGCAACTTACATCTGCCTAAAATTAGAATGGGTGCCTAGATGAGTTTTTAAACACAGTGATACTGTACAAAAATCAACTCATATTCAAATTGTATCTCCCAGTGAGATAACAATTTCCAATATGCCAAAAAATCTACCATTTTGTTAATACAGATCTAAAATAGGAACGAAACAATTTTAAATTTTTATAAGACATTACATTTGACGAAAATAGCTATTACTACCCTATCATATCCACAGTACCAGGAACAGGGAAAAAATTAAGGTATGCTTTTAAAATATTAATTGAAAGTACAGTTCACCATTGTGAAACTAAAGCATGAGGGTCGTGCACTTTATACAGAAATAAGTGTTTTGAGAAAACACAGGAAAAAAACAAAGGATATGTCTTTGTAGTGAAAGTTAGAACTTCTTAAATTGTTTTAAAGGTTTTAAACGTCAAATGATTTGCACTAATTTTCATACAGCAAACCTATAGCAATTAAATCCACCGAGTTGGTAAGTATTTTTCATGCTTTTCAGAAGCAAATATTGCCTGGATGATTGGAGTGAGGTGGGCTGAAAACTCACTGTGCCCGAATCCCTCAGGACAGCATTGATCAATGGCTTACGCCCCGCTGGCAGCCAGCAACGAGGACAGCCCTGCAGGGGTCAATTTTGTGGCCCATGTCCATCAACATCTCACCAGTGACCTGGGCAAGGACATAGAGACTACATGCTAACAAGTTTGCAGATGACATTAAGTTAGGAGGATGAGACAACACGCCAAATGGCAGAGCTTCAATCAGAAGGACACTGCACGGCTTGAGGACTGGGCCAGAAAACACTTCAGGAAGTCCACTAGAAGTGCAAAGGCCTATCGAATGTGGAAAACCCACCATTCCCCACGACTCAGCACTGCTGAAATTTCACAGGTTGTCTAAAAATTATAATTTGGATAGAAACCGCCACACCTATCTTTGTTAACCCATTCTCTTTGGAAACAGCACAAAATATGTCATGATGTCCCCCAAGGTCACAGGAAAAAAGTAATAAAAGATATTGCACAGAATCCAGAGAATTCTGCACAATACAAAATTACGGTACATCTGCTAGCACTTTTCAATTTCTGATAAAGACTGCAAATATTTTGTAATGCATTGTTTTGTGTTTCCTCTGCTTAGAAATTAACAAATCTAACATTCAGTAGGCTTAAAAAGTGCCTTCAGTAAAAAGATTTAGCATATTACAGATTTTTTTTAATTCTAAAAATGTTAGCTATTTTTCTTTCAACAAGTGTCAAATAAACAATTGTAAAAAATAATTAAATCAGTGATAGCATCTTTAGTGTTCACCAAGTTTCAGTTTGCATTGCAAATAATGGCATTCACAAAGCACTAGCAGAACACTGTAAAACTTAAGACCTTATTTCTGTATTTAAATTAAAAACCACTTTTCAAAAAAATCTGAGGACATGCAGTTTCTGTCCCTCAAATGTACTTGCAGTCATACAGACGTAATGCTTTCCAATATCACGGTGAACTGCACACAGACTTGAGTATGAGGTGGACAGTAACGTTTAATAACGTTGTTTTTAAGGAAAAGGACACAGGATAGTTAATTGCTATTTTGCACACAATGTGCCAATTTGATTCATAGTGTAATGTCATTAAAGCAAGTAGGATAAATGTAACCAAATACGATTAAAAAAACCCAAACTTTGATATATTTGCTTATAATGACAACTGCAGAACTAAAAAAAAAAAAAAAAAAAAAAAATCAGACTAGGTTCAACTAGGAAAGAAAAAGATATCATTCTTGACAAATTCAAAATTTTCTTTGGAAGAAAACCTGTTAATCTAGACACAGGTTTTTCTTATGCAACTATTCATAAGCAATTCATGAACATTCACAATTCTCAAAAAGTCTACTTAATATTTCCTTTAGGTTTTCATAGTTCTTTCTGATAAAAGAACTGGGTGAAGAAATTGTAATTCATTAGTAGCTGGTTGCTCTGCCAGTTGCTTTGCCATACAAACAAAAGGGAGAACTAAATGCATATTAAATAATCAAAGTCATCTCAGTTCTGTAGGGTCCTGACTCTACAAAAGGAAGAAGCAAGTGGAGAGCTGAGTATGCGTGCTAATCTACTGAGAACTCTTCAAGCAGCTCTGCTGGCAGGATCACATACATATCTAATAATTTATTTTAGATCTCCGTACTGAAATCAATCTTAAATAGAAAAATTCAAGTGCACTATGTACGCTGTGTATGCGTAGAAAGAAATACAATGTATATGTATGAAATCTAACCTATCATCAGTGCCTGGATATATAATACATGCATAAATGGAAGACTAGATGACACCATATGGAATGCAGTTTCTACCTCATAGAATTACTTTTTTCCTTTTAATAAATCTGTCCTCCTGCTTTTAATGTTTCAGAGATTTTCAAATAGAAAGTGCCAAGCCTTCTCCCACATATTTTAACTGAGGCTTAGCAACACATAAGAGACTTGGTTCTTAATCAAAAAATATAGAATCACTTTATGAAAAGCTGTAAAATATAATTTTGCACAAAAGCTATTTTGGCAACAAAAGTAGTAGTTATTAGCTACAACGCATGGGAGCCTCTGCCATACTCTTAAATATAAATTTAGATAAGAAAAGTGGATGGGGAAAAACAGAGCCAGTAAAGTAAACTGTGTGTGGCAGAAAACAGTTGAATTTACAATACTATCCAGCTTCTGAAGAGAAGCCAGAGACCTTCCGATGAAATCTTCCTGTGCTTTTCACGCTGTTGCAAAGCTTCAGGGAATTCTAATTGTATAAACAGTTATGGGGAAACGAGATTCACTGTAAGACTATGTCCAGCCGGTGGTAAAAGTGACGAATGCATGTCAGCATCAGTCATTTAGAATGTGAACCTTCTGACTAGTAATTCATATGCATTATTGTCTCAAATTCAACCAGTTAACAGTTTCTTTTCAGTCTGATTATACAGTCAGCTTCCCAAAGCTAAAGCATGTACAGTAGATCCCATTCCTCTGAAATAGTTAGATGTTTTGTTGTCTTTTGATTTTAAATAATGCAGGTTCTCCAATATTTATATCATGATAAAATTCTACTGCTTTAAAAATCTGCCTTTCACACAAGCCTAAGCATACATATTTTAAAATTACTTACTGTACATGTTCATATTTTGTTTAAGGCATGAACAATGGCATGTGAATGGGAACAGCTTCCAGAAAAGTGTATCTTTTTGACAAAGGTCAGTCCAAGTACATCACACCAAAGGACTAACCTGAAGCCAGAAATGACAGTGTTGTGACCCAAGAGTTTTTAACAAAAATAGTTGAAACAAAATGGATTTTTTTCTCTTTTTCTTCCTTTTTTTTTTTTTTAATTTAAATTACATTACTCTTAATGTCTTTTTAAAGCACCGGTTGCAGTTTTGTGTTTACCACCTCTTCCGAGTGACTTTGGATAACTCATCTGCTTCTTTTGTTCTGAATTTTCAGTGTATGAAACTTTAAAAGGTTTCTGTTTCTTTTTTTTTGTTTCTTTTTTTTTTTTTTTTAATGGCTGCTGCAAAATTAAAAAGATCCAGAAGTGGTCAGGGGCCTGGTCTAATGCACTTTCAAAAGTCCGTTATAAAGATGAATATAGATGAAAATGATAGGTTTTTCCGTAGACCCACAAACCACGCTTAGCTATAAGAAACATATTGTGCATAGTTATTTTTTTCTTCAGAGTGATATGTTTACTAGATCTACATTCTCAGTTTACCAGAGTACGGGAATTTCTACTTTACTAAAGCCAGGATCCTTTCGCAGTTCCCAGTAGGTGTCATTGGTAACCCAGGCTTCTCTTTGATTAGCGTCGATAACTTTTCTGTAGAAAGGGGGGGGAGGAGGGGGAAGAGAGAGGAAAAAAGTTCCAACCATAGATCTCTACTCTTATGCAATACGAAATAAAATTCCATACCTCTCTGATCTAACCCAATACTAAATCTGGTTTCAAATTCCTAAAGGACAGGGATTTAAAAATAAAAGTCAACTTAACTTCTACCTATGTCAAAAGTGGAAGGTTTAGAAAACAGCCAAGATTGCAAACCTGTCATCTGATCTGTGTGAGCAGGTCTCAGAGTCTCTTTGGCCATTACAGATTCTGATTATGTGCAGGGGATCAACCAACCTCACTTGTAGAATGCAAGAGTTTTACCATTTACATTCTTTGTCTCCTCTGTATTTTGCTCATCTTCCCCTACAAAACTGCATCAAGCACATTCAGTATTTTCACTTTTGATTCCCCATGCTAAACACAGGCTATTTGGTATGGCTACCCTTCTTTCAGAAGAATGCTTAGAAAACAAAACCAAACCAACCCCCTCCACTCAAAAATAAATCATTTGTAATTTAAGTGTGTATATATACATTTATATATACATTTTATAACAAGATATATATGTATGATGATGTTGTTCAGGTCACTATTTATTACTTTGTTTATGCAATGGCTTAAAACACTAACATAGTTAAATCTTAGATCCTAATATTGTACTTCTACTCCACTTCAAAGTTCAAAAAACATTGGCCAAGGGGTGCAGCAGACTTCTATAGCTGTTGCCCATTATAAGAAAGTGATCTTTCAATTATGAAGCTTTAAACTATATAAAAAATGCTCCAAGTAGAGATCAGGTATCTGATTATTTTTCTTAAAATTGCCATTTTCCAGGCTTTCACAATTAACAGACTACATTAGTGGTAATTCTTGTAGTACTTTGTCCAGTCACACTACAGAAAACAAAGACTTACTACTGAAATGAATAGACTCACTTAAAAAATTTGGGTACATATTCAATGCTGTTTTCTTCCATGTACCGCCTCCGAGCTCTCTGGAGTTCCTCTATTCTTTGTTTCTCAGATGCCGCCGCTTCTATATTTCCTTCCTCAAGAAGCCTGTATGAATAACAGCAGGCCCTATAGCAATCACACAGCGTCTAGAACACGGGATTTTCTAGCACCAATCATCAGAAAAGACAAGCAGAAGCCAAGCCTGTTGTCTGTGTTTTACCCACTTTCAGATCTCATCATAACCTCATAAAGTAAGAATAACCAAGATGTGACTCCCCAGATACACATACCTGACCTATAGCCTAAGGTATACACTTTCTTTAGTAACTCCAGCATATCACAAACATTAAAGTACTATGAACTGAGAACTAGGAGGGAATTAATGTTGCTTCCATTCGTAGCAGGAGGGTACGGCATTTCAGAGCCTGTCTTTCCAGCTTGTTATGAGGAATCCTACCTCTGCCCAAAGATTGCACTATAGCTCTACTATACCAATAAGATGCTTCCTATTTCCCTCAACTGGGGAAAGCAGGAATTTGATTGCCATACTGAACACCTCTGCTAGCAGAATCCTCCAAAACTTAGTTCAGACTGTAGTGAAGACATAGACAAAATTCAATACTCAGCCAAACCCAACCTTAAAGCCACCGAACATGAAGTGTATAAATAAGCATTCTTGCCTTTGATCCGGCCTGAATCGCGCATCTGTTGTAGGAAGAAGATCTTTCAATAAAGGATCTAATTCATTGAGCTCAATAGCAAACCTCGTAAAGCCATAATAACGTTCATAATTGGTTGGCATGGAGCCTGTATGAATATGCATGAGAAAGAAAAAAGCTTTTTATACTATTACTCTAAATATGCAACAGATTCATTCATTTATTAAATTCTAGCAGCAAAAATATTAATATATTTTACTCTTACATAATTTAAAAGCATCAAAAGCTATTGTCTCGGTGGAACAGCATTCACTAAATATTAATTTCAACTGCTTATCCTGCAGAGGTTGTAATTACATGCAAATAGATTCAAAATTTTTATGATCTTCCTTCCTTTTTAAATAAAAATGACTGTTTCCATTATTTTCAAGCTGAACATAGCTTCCTGTTCCCCAGAAAGTGGGTTTATGAAATGTCTGTATAAAAGCTAACCTTAACTTATCTTCAGAGTTAATTTTGGAACACTCACTTGCAGACTGATTCGGCACCGTTAACGGCAGCCAGAGACAACATTGCAGAGAGTAGGGTACAAAGTAGGTTCAAAATACTCTGAGTACCTGCCAGAGTTTCTTACAAGCATCTTACCTGGCCTCCATATGCATTTGGCGGAAGGTGCAACCCCACAATAAAGGCCTTCATGCCACTTTCCAAAAAGGCGATGAACCACTTTCCCTTCTTGATCTATCACAACACCCTGGACCTCATTTACATTTGAATTCCAGTAGTTTACCTGCAAGGTTAACACAGAATCACTAGTTCACACTGGTTTTTGCATTACCCATTGTACCAAGACATATACTGCATGAATCTTCATATGTGGCACCAATTGTCCAAATCTTGTATCAGAACAGCTCACCTGGAACCAAGAATATCAGAATTTGAAACTCAGATGATTTGAATATTAATTGATTTAGTATATGAGAAACCCTGAATAATTGGAGGTGTGGTTTTGGAATAAAGGTATTTAAATTATCTGCACATCTGGGAACTATACTGTTGTTCATTAACCTAAATCCCACACAATTCAGCAAAAATGACACTTTGAAAGCTTCGAGATCAGCGCCAGCTAACTGAACATACCTGTACATGTAAGGGAATCCTTTGATGGGTGCTGCACACTATTGTTTGCAGCAGGGAAGACGTTCAGCCAGTATTACTTGTTATTTGTCACTTTCTGTTTCTCTTCTCTGTTTTGCTTTTCTTAGACACATTTATCTCTTACACCTTCACCTACTGAGCCAGTTGCCCGTTCTCAGAACATCCATCAAAACATGAATTTCAGACTTATGGTAACGCACCACTGCTAACACGACAATGGTATTGATGTATTTTGTTGCAATATGAAGACAAACTTATTTTTAGGGAAAATAATTGATTGTAGCATAGCTATACAGTGATCTGTTTCTATATGGTCCTTGCCTGGATATTAAAACACTACGAACCAAAGCAGCATTACTTAATCTAAAGAGATAAAACACTGACTGCAAAATTGTATTAAAGGCAGAACTAAAACGGCACAGAAGTCTACAGTGACTTTGTGCTTTCATTGTGGTAGCAGAAAAGAAATTTTGTCATTTCATTTTTAACCTAAAACCAACAACAGTATAGCACACAGCTATACAGCAATGTAACACACAGACATCAAATGTTCAATGGAATACAGTCATACTACTTGACATATCACTCTCATTTGACAACTTACATATTTACAAATATCGATAAGACAAAATGTGGAAAGCAGATTTCAGGAATACTGAAGAAACAGCTTGGTGCGTGCTTAAACTATGCAGTTTTATGAATGTACGATACATATTAGAATACATTAGTTACCTTGACGAATGTGAGTTTACAAATACAAACACTGCTTTTTGTGTTTCTGATAGTTATCTCTCCATAGTGTTCTATCCACCTCCTTCCACTAAGAATATTATGTATGCAAGTAGTGACTTTGTTCCAGACATAGAAGTCCCCATACCTAAGAACAGATTAACAAGTAGTTGGTAACATATATTAATCATTATCATTATGGACAAAAAGTAAAACATAGCTCCATTATCACAAATACAAAACCATACTCCTCAAAAACTTTTGCAACAATAGCTTACTTTAATAAAGCACTGGCTCTGGGTACAATACTAATCCTCCACAGAGGAGTTCACCTAAGCTCTAGTGCGGAGAACTGAAGAATGGTGCCATGAACCACAAGACATTATGAACCCTGCACAGCATATTCACTGTCCTCGGAGCATTAAGTGCTTTGGCCACCAATCCTTTAGGGGCAGGACAGTGAAACAAAGATCAACATAAGGCTGAATTGAGGCTATAAGCAGTGAATGTCATAGAAAAAAGAAAACAAAACAAACAAATAGAACAAAATAAATATGGAAAGGAGGTAACAGAAAGGAAGCAGGAGCTCACTGGCACATCACCCCTTTCCTTTTGTAACAACTACTCAGAGTCAGAGCACCTCTATTGTCAAACAAGGGAGTAAAATGAGGGAATGATATTGCGCAAAGCACATTCTCCTCCAATCCTGAGGGGCAAGCATGAAGACAGAAGACAAAGATGCTCCTGAGTGCACTTACTTCAATTACATGAGGTGGATGAAGAGGTGAAGTGGAGTGATGCCGTACTGTTAGAGGCAGAAAGAAATGCTGGCTGCAATGTACAGGAGCAGGAATAGTACTGCAAAACCAGCAGACATGTTTAAAGTATCCTCTCCTTGCATGTTCTCAGGATTTGCAACTTGCAACTAGCCTCAACTGTGGTGAAACTTCTTTTCGCTACTCTGTCAACATCTGAAGAACATGTTTTGGCTTATCTACATTTGGAAAAACAACCTTACACTGTTACTAGTGGTTGTTCTGAGGGAACACTTAGCAGTATTGAGAACCTTAGTAAGGACAGTGCTAGCTGCTGACAGTCCTACATTGCATCCTTGTTCTGAACAGGTCACTACTGTACACGTAAAACTTGGGTTCTCTCTCCTAAAACATTTCTATTCCCCTCTGTCTATCACTTTCTAGGGAGTTTGTATATTTTCCCTCCAAAACTCCAAATGGATCTTCAGGCTCAAAAACGCTTCAGTACCCCCACCTGTACACTAAGAGGAGATCTGAGCTAGGCACTAACTCTCACCAGTACAATTCAGGTGATGTCTGCATACACTTCCCCCAACCCATTCACAAGGCAGCACAGATTAGATTGCAGCAAAGACTAAAAACAAAAGGAAACGCGACAGTAGCTTACTTTGGAAGAGTCACATTCAAGGTTCCAACTGGCAGAATTTCCATTGATTTCCCCCAGAATTTGTTTTTCCACCTGATATCTAAATACAATAGTGAAAAATTTACAAAACTGAAAAGACCAGTCTGGCAGTGATCTGTGTAGCACACAAGATGATCTATGCCAGACCATCGGGTTTAAAACAGGACAGCATGAGGTTGCCATGAAAATACAAAAGGAAAAAAAAAAATACTTGAAAATGACATTAGGTCGGAAAAACTAAAGATAAGTTTGATTTTCTTCAAGGAGTCATGCCTGTGCTACATTATTGTCAAATCTCTCATGAAAACATTTGATATAAATTAAATGCATATGCCAGTAGATACAAGGAAAGAAAGAGCTGCTTGTTCAACTGTGTAAAAAGAACTGCTTGTGTTTATTAGAAATAATAATTTTCTCAGTAAAAAGCTTTTAAGCAAAAAAGTGTAAAGACTACAAGTGACAAGGGATGCTGTAACACGCCTGCTCACTCATAAGAATGAGAATTTGGAGTGAAGCATCAGTTTGTAATAAGTTACTACAAAAATAGTAAGTATCTAAATTTTTAGTAAGTCCCAAATGCAAATCTCAGCTTGTACAGACAAAGTTTTTACTTGCTAATAAAAAATGGTTATGCTTTTGAATTAAAAAAGTATACCTTGCCAAAACACAAAGTTCTTCGATTCACAGTGACAGGCCGAAATGGGAGGATGGTGGCTAACCTGGAAAACAGTTTGGCTGAGTTAAAAACAATTCATTTTCATTTCTAAGACAATACAATTGTTACTGCAATGTGAAAACACTAAATAGCCCACACTATTTACTAGCCTATGTTGCTATGAAAACAGATGCAACTTGAGATTGTACTTAAAATGCTATGTACTTAAAACACTTGCGATTACTACAAAAATATATACATTCTAGCACTAAATGAAGTTCACTTATAGTAACAACCTTTCTTTACTCCTAAGAAAGTGAACGATTCTAAGAAGAAAGAAAAAACAAGATTACTCTATAAAACAAAGAAACCAAAATCTAAATCTAAACAGGAGTGTCTATCTAGAAACAAGCTTTACCTGCTCTGAGAAAAATCGAAATCCTTTATCTTCTCTAATACATTCATAAGTTTCACCAAGCACTGGGTTAAATGGCTTGCTTCCTGCTCTAAAATACGTAGAGGCATAGCCTGATGCTGCAAAAGCAGCTATGAGAACCTGTGAAAATACAGACAAGAACATAAGTGAGAACAGGCAGAGATTCTCATGCATATGCCATGACTATGTGGTATCACACAACTTACTCCACTCAAGAGTGAAATCTGGATTGATGAAGCATGCCTGAGAGTGAAGCCATACATCCCAGCCAGAACCAGTATAAACTGTATTTCTTTTGTTGATATAATTTGGTTTTCTTCATGGCCTCAGTCAGCATCTCTCAACAGTCCCCTAAAATAATAATCTGCACAAGAAACTGTTTTTCTACCTTTAAACAGACTTATCACTAATGATCTAAAACACAAACCCAGCTCTAGTTTATGCTCCCTGTGAATAAATACTATATGACAATGTCTAATGACAATATCACATACCATTTTCCTATGGGAACTATTCTATTTAGTGTCAAACATAAACAGCTCTGACTTAGGATGTCCTTAATGCAGGGTTAAGGTTCTGCTATCAGGGGGGTGAACCTTAACCAGGTTCCCCTCTCCTCATGGTAGCAAGGACAAAACACTTGTGTGAGCTTTTACATGCTTTGTTTTCTTCCCGTTGTGTGACAGATGCTCCATTCTTTATTTATTTCATATTATTCATAAATGCAGAATCAACAGAATTACCGCTCTTTTCACAGGCTTTTCTTCAACAGTAAAAACCTACATTCTTCCAAAACCTTTTTCATGAATTTAACTATAAGGCACTACAGAGAAATGAGGGGGTTTACTTTCCTTATGATGTATAGAGCAATGAGAAGAAAAAAGTTTCCACCACTTTTGGATGTTTATTTAAAGATATTTTTGGATGCTTATTTAAGATAGCAAAGTCCTGATTTTTCAAAGAACAGTGAAGAAGCAGGGAATATATTCAAAGCACTGCTACCACTGATGCTTCAGGTATTCAGCACTTCTGCTTAGTCCCACATACCTCAGGTTGGGTGCGCAATTTGCATTTTTAAGGCACTTGTTAAAAGTTTGGCTTGTATCCCCAGTATTGCAGAGGTATCCGTAGTAAAGGGGATTGAATCCAGGTTTTCAAGGAAGCTTTTGGTTGCACCATGGCTTTTCCTTCCTGAGCTCTCCTGACTCCTTCAATACACACCTTCCAAGCTTTTCAACAAAGGAGGTAGAGTCCTACAGGCACACAGCCTGCTTTACTCACTACAACCCTGCCCAGTCCTTACAGGTTCTCCCTTTTGTGAGGGACATAAGGATTCTTGTAGGAAAACAGCACATGATTATAAATAATTCAACCTCCTATCATTAGACAGGTCCAAATACCAGTGTTTAGGACCCCCTACTCTCCTGCAGGCCACATGAATGTGGCAGTTAACGGACCCAAGCGTGTGGCTGTATGACAGCTGCAAGCAACCTCTCTTCTCCTAATTATCCACAGCGTTGCCAACACATACCAGCGGATATGTTCAGCAACAACACTGCCAATTTTCTCCTTACAGTCTTTCCCTGTTTCTTCTGATGAAAAGGAGACATGACAGATCAAAACACCTTGAGAACTGAAGATAGGCTGTTGGCTGTCAGTTAAAAACACAAGACATACTTACAGGGAAGCTGAAGTCAGGCAAACTTTGTTTTGGTGGTTTGGAATTTCTCTATTAGAAATTGCCTAGGATGACAGCTTATTGACACCTACATTGACCATAAGCCAGCCACAGCCTTGATTAGCTCTTGGAGGCTGCTGGACTTAATCACTGAAAGCCAGGAAAGGGTGCTGCAGCGTTTGAAACTGCCATTGCCTACATCAGTCTTCACACCAGTGAGTCACAAATGCAGGACTTCATTTGAAGTCAAGAAAGTCCCTCAGTCTTGTTCAGATCAAACCTACCACCTGTAATTGTTCACAACATTTGTCTGACCCAGCAGGGAGGTCTGTTGCCTGTGAACAGGAAGAGCAAGAGAGGACCCTGCACAGACCTCCATTCAACAGTTCCCTTTTTAATACAGACATAAGAAGTGGTACACTAAATTTATTACCATGCGTTCATAAGGATCATCTGTTTCAGCAGCCTTGTCCAAGAGTTCACTGTATTCCAGCTCTTCACAAAGATGTTGCAAGGTATTTAGAGGTTCATTTAGCTCAACTGGCATGGATACTTTGGAAAGATCTTTGCCAATGTTATTTCTCAAAATATTCCACAGATTGATATTACTGGTGTCAGGGCTGGGAGCTGGGAGACAAGTTCTCCGTCCGTTCCTGAATGCGCCTCCTGTTAGCTCACCATTAAGAACTGGGAAGGGAAAAAACTATTATCATAAGAAAGCACCAGATTAAGAAAAACAGACTGATCCATTGAACCACATCACCGCCAGAACAAGCAAGCCCAACTTCACTGATTTCAGCTGAGTTGGTCTTGTACAGACATGCAGTAAGCCTGGTATATGAACATAACCAATGTAATTTCCCAAAGTTTAAAACATAGCCGTATACTTTGCCGAGAAATGTTGTCTGCAACACTGGTGTTGTCCTCAGATATATTATCACTCACATCACTGATATAAGATTCATCATCAGAAGCCTAAAACATAAACAAAATAACAATTTAGTCAAATACATAAAATACTGCCAAATTAGACAAAAATAGTTAAATGAAACACAAATATTCAAAGAAATCATCTATACCAATTAGAGCTTTAAACTAAATCAACCGGATGTTTCAATCAGCCCATACTGCCAATGCACTAAAAGTGTCAAAACAAATGCTATGCTCTCCTTATGTTTCTGAATTCTTTATTATGAAGCTAAATACAGATATTAAATTTGCAAAAGGGTGACTTCATTTGAAGTCAGAGATGAACAAAAGATTGACAGCATAATGTGCTGGGGACAGGAGGCAAGAAAAGATAGTTAAGATTTGTGCTTTTTATAAAGAACCAAACAATAAAATGCAGCTTGCGTTTCAGCAAAAAATTAGATGGAAACCAACTTATCATTTTGCAAAACAAGACCTACATCAGCTTTAAGACTATTTTTAATAAATTTTTTTTAACTTTTTTTTTTTCCCCAGAAATATTACTTTCAATATATTTAACAGTGTTTACTGATAACAGAGTATTCATTATAAAGCCTACACCATTTGCAGGTGACTTTGTAAAGTTTCCATTTTGTTTATACCATACAGACACACCAATTTTCCATGCTGATATACACAATCCAGACTATTGAGATAACACGTACTATACATCTGACAGAACCAATAAGATAAGGAACCATTCTATTCTTTAGTTGAACAACTCCAGCTGAGACTGTGCCAACAAGTGGCACATGAGCAATCCTTGTCAAAGAGAAAATATGGTGGCACACTCTCATTTCATCTTACAGAAGATGTGGTAGATCACAGCACTACTGTGGCTTTATATAAAGGTATTTTAAAAAATAAATACATTTCTAAAGTTGAAGAATTTATCCAGGATAGCACAGGGAAGCTGTGGACAGCAATATGATTCAGGAGCCTGAACTATATCTGACTGCTTCAACTTGGAGCTTGAGTGAGACAATTTTTCAGGCTTTTGTCTACTACTCTGATTACAGAGAATAATTTTATAACTATACTAGAACACTATAATACTAGACTTTTTAAAGAATATTTTAAAATCTAAATTAGTTGACTGCATAGTCAGACATAATTACTTCTGTCTATGTCATTTGAAACTGCCATAGTCTAGCAAGGTCATGACCTGAACGTAAGGTATGATACAAACAACTTCTAACTCAGTCTTACACTTCAGGGAACTTTCGCACCCCATCACAAGGCAGTCTCAGGTTCATTTATCTACGCCTTACACATTCTGATACCTTTTTATTTTAAGTAACATTATAAAAAAACATAAAAAATATCATTCACTAGTGGTAGCAATACCTAAACCTGTCCAAGAGCAAAGCTGCAGCGTGCTATCATAGCCTACCTCATTTTCTGACGAGCTGGCAGATAGAAGCACTTCTTGTGCATCAAAGAACTCTGAAACGGATTCAGACATAGAGAGCCTGCTCTCATTAGAAACTTGCTGAGACAGTGGCAAACTGACATGAATTTGTTCACCTGTCTGTAAATAAATCACAGAAATATAAAAGTATTATTTCTAGTATAAAAGAAACATGCATAGAAAGGGTAAATCACCTGAATAATTTTTCTATGCCAAATATAAGTACAGGTAGTAAAACCGGCATTTTAGTAGGGCTTTGTGCATACCTAACAGATGAGGTTTTGACAATTACAAAATAAAGTGCATTTTGAGCAGCGATACACATCTTCATTTGAGGCCTGCTCAGCATCAATTGCTAAGTTTTAGCACCACGAATAATCACGGATCTAGTTCTGTATCCAGAGGAACGACTTTATGGACAATACTTGGATTGCATCAGACAAGTTCAACCATGAAATTCAGATGAAAAGACACCTGTTCATAACAAATTATATCACTGGGAGCTAGCTTTGAAACAATCAAAACTCAAATATAAAGCTTTATAAGGTGAGGGAGTTATAAGTCACTTTCAAAATAAATGCGCTTGAGAACCAGTTTAGTAACAAATGTTTGAAAAGTTTGAATATTCAGGAGGATGGCTATAGTATATATTTATGTGCTTTTATTCCATGTTTGTACTCCAAATCTCATTTGAATTATGCCATGAACACTGACTCAATACTACTAAAGGGAATGGAATCTCTATGGTTTATTATAAAGAGAATTTAACAGCTAAGGCAAGGGTTCAAAACTGTGTTATGTGTTACACAGTAAGGGGGGCAAGCTAACTTAAATAGTTACCATATCTTCCTCTTCCTGCTATCAGTGGGAAGAACACCAGGTTTCAGTGGGTTACCCTATGGGCTATTGCTTTAAGAAGCGGGGCGGGGGGGAAATTAAGATGTCTACCTGTACCATTCCACCAAAGGAGCTGCTGCTGTGGAGGGAAACAGGCTTCTGACTTAATCCCTTAATTCATACAGCATGTTGTTTCTGGGAGATAATACAGATGAAACTACTGAGGCCCTTCTAAACATAGTTAACTCTTCAGATTGCAACTCTATTCCCATTAATCTTACCACAGAAGTCCTGCAAATGGTTTTGCTGACACCTTAATCCTATAGAATTATTCCATATAGTTGTCTCAAAATGCACTAACAAAAAAATATAAATCATAAACCAGCCAATATGTCAAAACCCATTTCTTTTTCTTATAAGCTTATAAATGGTATATGATGTTTGATGAATTATAATGGAGACAGAAGCTCATTTCACTGTTATCTTTACAGGAAGTGATGGAAATTTTAAGGCTTCATATAAGCTAGAGGGACTTGGAAAAATACACACGCATCTACCAGAAAAAGATGCTCACACAGGCATTATCTACACATCGCAAGATTATATATATGAAGCAATCAGGAGAATAAGTGAATGAGAGATCTGGGAATCTCTTTGAAAAACTTCAGTCAAATACACTTGTACCAATGTAACGATGTACATATGAAAAAGAAACAGCTAACCAACAAAAAAAAAAAAAAAACAAAATAGAAGAGATGACAATTGCTCAGAACTTCAGTGCAGATTGCTGTGCTGTGGCACCGCTTCACCTGTCTTCTATTCTAGTCTCCAACATGCTGGTCTCTTGGAAAAATTGTTTGGACTTTTTCCAAAAGCAAACAACCAAAAGTAATTGGAAACATATTTTCACCTTCCTTTCTTGGTGGAAAAAATACTTAGGAGATGAGTATGTTAACTGAACTGGCATATGACAAATGAAAAATATTTTGGTAAAATACAAGTAGAATGGTTGTCAAAATGAACACATTAATTGTAACATATCACAGCTCGCAAATTAAGATTTTTCCTTCTCATGAGGGAAGCTGACCTGTTATTAATACAAATGTTCAGTTATCTGTTGAGTGAGGAAAGCAAAACAAGAAAGACTAAGTGTTGCAAACATGATATTACCATAGTGTTTGGTTCATAGACTGAACCTTTTGATTTCAGTGGTGCCACTCAAGATATTAAACATTAGGCCCTTTAAGCACTTGCAGGATCAAGCCATTAAATACTAAACTGTTCTGTTGATTTGGCAAGAAACTCAGATAAAGAATTGGTTAGCTACTGTGTGTCACAGTCAAATACAGTAAAACCTCACTAATTCCCACAGCCCACAATTAATATTCCAGAACTGGTGTGCTTCCCTGTTTCTCTGCAGAGACCAAACTGAGTTCCTTCATGAGATCTGACATATACAAAATAAAAGACAGAAGTTTTATTTTATGCAGGGAAAATATAATCTGACATCTTCTATAAATGAACATTTGCCAATCTGAAAAATACTGTAATTTGCCAGGTGTTTCAGCTATTAGTGAGAATTAGCAAGGTTTGATTGTACTCTAAATCCATTAAAGGCCAAAGTCTTACCTCATCAGGACTAGGGATAATATTTACACTGACAACCTGATCACAAATAACAGATTCTGAATGTATTCTGTTCAAGCGACTCCTTAGTTCAGCATTCTGGTTGAGAGCCTTAAAATAAAAATTGCACATTTCATTTAAAATTAAAAAGTAAGCATTAAACAGGAAAAAAAAAGGTAGCTTCTTCCCAGCAATTTCCTAAGAAATCACAGAACCTCCTTTCTTCCATTTTTAGAGATACCTATTTTGAGATTCTCTCCAACATGATTTAGTGTTTTGGTTTGTTTGCCTTCAGTGATTTTCAGAAGCAGTGGGGACAGTGTCCCAGAACGTAACAGTGACACTCTACCTTAATTCCTCAGATAGCTCTTTGGCAGGTATACTGGTGGGTTATGTACATTATGGAAATGGGGAGTGAATGCAGCAGGAAAGAATGAAACTGCAGAACAAAAAATGGGAACTACCTGCAAAATTCCCAAAGAGGCAATTGTTGCTTTACAACTATACAGGCCTTTCTGAACCAAGGGTATCAGCATGTAGAGCCTGCAAAAGGAAATTGCTTCCTTTCCAGCAAAACCAACATAATTGCTAGTAAAATTGGGTGTTTGCCCATCCAGATCAATTTGATATATTTGCATATGTGTACTCATTTCAAACTACTGATCCATTAGTGTCACAAATATCAATAGAATTCAACTGGTGTCTAGTGATTTTTCTCCTTTTTTAAGGATTATAAATTTGGGGGTGTATATACACATTGCCTGCTATCTAGAAAGACTCGTGCAAGATTCTGAAATCCAGAAAAAGTATAATATGTTACATACCTAGAACATGAACTGGCTTAACCCTAATATATGCCCAGCACTGAGAATTGTAGGAAAGAGCAACAGACAGACATACTGTTTTAGTAAAAAATGACTGTTACAATGGAGTTATAATCTTCTGCCTCCCTCTAGTGCAAACCCAGGAATAGATTGCATAAACGTACTGAAACAAAGTAGGACCAAAGTAAAATAGGTTAGCTTAAACCGTCACTAAACAGTTTAAATTACCCCATTTTGCTTTGTTCTGAAATGCTCTGGGCACGTTCACAGTTGCCATCTACCAGGAAGGGAAGGTGATGACTAACTGCAGTTTGGCAATAGCTTCCCAAACTGCTCAAACCTGGTCGTGAGACTGGTCAAACCCAGCCATCTGACTAAGATCAAATTTCCATTTATTCCCCATTAAGACTACGAACTAATGTGTGAAAGTGACTTTTAGACTGACCCTGGAGACCGGGAACAAGAAGAAAACATGATCACCTATTTCATACAAGTTGCTAGTAAGTCTCCACGGGTTCTTGGTTAAATTTGTATCAATGACCAGAAACAGTTACCCTTATCTCCTGTCCTTAACCTTTCTTTATCACAACACACAGTAATCAATCTGCATAACATGATATACATCTGTACCTATAGAATCATGGTGCATCAATTTTAATCTCACAGCAAAAACCTCGAACCCAATAACACTATATGAAATTATATACACATTTGGGTGAAGTTTTGTTTGCCTTTAAACCTCTGCTCACATTTCTTGCAGATGCAGTACTCCACACCAACCCTTTCTTCAGAGTAAAAGCTTTTATGTTTCCCTGACAATGAATTAAAAAAATTGAGTTATCTTGTAACCTGAGGACTTACTGTGGCTTTACCTCTTCTTCCCCACTAAAGCCAATGACAATTTTTCCTTTGGCTTAATTGGGAGAGACACTGGACAGTAACAGGTGTGTCTCTTAAAATCCAATTTACCCATGATTATCCTGTAATCCATGATTTATTTTGCAATTAGAGATATGGACATATAAAAAAAATTTGAAAACATACAGTGAAAATTTAAAACTTAGTTAAGAATAGAAGAATATCTCCTTGGCTGTGCTGGAAACAGCTCCAAGAAAGATATTTAGCATTTGCATAAAAATATTTGATTCTTTTTCTTTACTTTGGAAAACCATAACAGATACATGCTTACATGAAGAAATTATATCTGTCACCTCCACACGCACTGAGGTTAGACCTATGTCATAACAGAACATATGTCATAGTTGTGGTCAAGAACTCGGCTTTTTCCTGGCTCCTTCTACCACAGGAAAAGGCCAAAATACAAAAGAAATAGTGCACCTGGCAAGCTAGATGTGCTTGAAATCAAATCAAGAACATACCTGAGAGAGGGACTGTCTGAGGTGTGCTATTTGAGCATTGTGTCCTGCAAGATCCTGCTCTGAAACAATCTGCTTAAGCTTCTCCTTCTCTATAGCTATGCTGTTAAAGGCAGACTTCAAAAGAGAATGCACTAAGTAAAAAGAAAAAAAGAAAACAAGTGTTTTCTCAGCTACAGAACTGCACATTGACATCTATTACAATATTTCAGCAATAGAGTGAGATTTCCATCCCACAATTATGGAAATTTGAAACAAGTATCTGAACTTCAAGTAATCCATGCCAAATTAAGCACAAACACTTACAGCTTGAGGTTGTAATGTGCATACTGTATGCTCACACATATGTCATTCCAGCATATTCTTGGTGCTGAACATATGGAAAGGTGCATATTTGGCAAACCTGTGCCCAATGTGTGTTCTTTTCTTTCTGAGTTGGTTTTTTTTTTTTTTTTTAGTTGTTTTTTTTTTTTTTTTTAGTTGTTTTTTTTTTTTTTTTCCCCAGGGTAACAAAAAAATCAGTTCTGCTAAGACTTAATATTTCACAAATAAAGGGAATTACTTGGTCTCTAAACAGGTTTTTGACATTTTTTAAGATATTAGTCTCATGTTTTTCCTGTGTTTGTTATGTAACAGACAGCAAACTTATAACAAATGCCTCTAAAACCAGTTTTTTTCAGTCTGTAGGACCATTCATTTACTGGCAATAAAATGACATTTCTAAAGTACATTCTAATAATAAGCTCTTCTTCTTTTGTTTCCACTGACGTAGAAAACATTGCACAAAAATGAACTGCACAACATTATACGTAGCAGTGAGATTCTGATTAATCTTTGGGGAGTAATAAAGCATTTTATTGAGAAACAAAATGTTTGCAAGATTCAGTCATGTATTTACAAGATGCAGGAAGCAGTTTAGAAGACTTCTAAAAAAAAGTCTTATCAGACAGTTTACCTGTCTCTATATTCACGACATCCACGGAAAATGTAAGAAGGGTAATACATGTTGTCTTTATGTAAGTCACCTGACCAGCTAGAAATTCTTATACAACATCATCTAATGCAGATGAATGCCTTGGCCATAACTAAGTGAAGGCAATAAAGAAATACAACAGAGGAGCGTATTAAAGGACAGGCTTCACATTTCCACTTACCTTTTTGTGCCATCAGGCAGAATTCTTCTTGAAGTTTCATGTACTCAGTGGAGCACTCCAGAGGGTCCGTTGCATGGCTTGGGGGAGTCTGAAACTCGATGTCTGCACAAAGGTTGGGATTGGATGAATGCAGTCTAACGGGTGACATCGTAGCACTGAAAGGGACCTACAGCGAGAAACATATAAGAAATATTGTATAAGCTACAACCAAACTTTTGGCTCCGTTGAAGAAAAAACAAATTTCTTCTGAAAACAAGACTTGGTTCACAATGTGAAGAACATAGTAAGTATGAACATATAACTTTTTACCCTCCTAAATCTCAGCATAGCTGAGGCAGAATTCTCTTGAAATTTTTCATCAAAACAGACAAAAGAAGGCCTAAATATATAGCTAACAGCTAATGATAGAGCATTTCAATTTTAACATTTACAAAAATGGACCATTTCCTAATGCTTAAACACGACTGGAAAATTGAACCATGACACATGCTGCTTTATATTTGGACACTTGAGACTCCATGTAGTATGACTCTGTTATTACAATAACAACATTTGAAGTATGCAAGTTCCTCCAAAGACGTAGAAATAGGATATAATATTATCAAATATATCGTTGAAGTTTTTCAAAACTACTGGTAAATCTTGAGTTGAAAGTCACTGTGGTGGCAACTATGAAGAAGGAAAAAGCATATAGTCTTTCTATATTCTAACTAAACAAATAAACAACAACAACAAAGAAAGCAAAACTCAACCTGATTTTCATTTGAATTGGACCATAAATAAATGCAAAGAGATACGGTTAGTAAGATGGAGCAAAGAATCTAGTTTATTATCATTTCCACTTCTCCTTCTCTATACTTTTCAGGTACAGTAATAAAAATACACATGCAAAACTTTATAAGTTATATACACATGTATCGTGTACTGAACAGTTACCTATATGTTACATACGCAGTATATGGTTACCACTGTTATGTATTTGATAGGAGTGTGAACGTGTGTCGTATTTTAATTTTACTCTTTACACACCTTTATATAGAAATCAGGCCAAGAACTTAATTTTCAAATTTAAATGCAAAGGAAAAGCATGCAGAACTGTATTTTGTTACTTAAATGTTAAGCATTGTTAAACACATCGAATACATTAAATCTAATTTCTTCCATTATACTGTTCAAATGTATAAATAAGAATTTCCACACTGCAGCCCAACATAATTATTCCAATATGAAAAACGGGGCCAAACTATAAAATGAGTCTTCCAAGGCATGATAAAAAGCAGCAGACAACATAAAAAGTCATATTACTAAGAATTTTTATCAACAGGTCAGTTCTATAGCCAGTATTTGAAATTGGTACCTTGTTAGTTGATTACATCACAGAACGGTTTTATCAATCCCTTCCTACAACAGTTGTCATCAATCTATGTTTTAGATTTCTGATTCCCCAATGAAACACTCAAAATCCTGTTGTATCTATTCATCACATCTCATTCCACTCATGACCATATTCTGCACAATACCATTTTCCATCCTGTTCTTCCTCAATTTCCAGATACATATAGCACACAGAATAATAGCTCTATTGCATCCTATCCAATAGAAACTTTATTCTCTTCTATCACGTATTTTGATTTCCAGCTATATCAACAAAGTCAGTATTTTTTATTGGACCTAATTTTAGCCTCATATCAAGACAACTTAATTAACAGGAGATGTAGAATAAATTCCTTCTGTTCATACTGGATATATACCCCTTTATCATCTTTGCGAGTACCAGACTGCCTCTCTCAACAGCTCAACAAAACCAGGTTAACTGACTAATGTGACTAAATGCAGGTTGATTTCAAGTCTACTTTACAAAACCTTTTCAGTTCTTAAATTGGAGAGCGCGTTCCCAGAACTTTCTGACTGGGAGCACTGCAAAGGTTCAATTGCTCCAGGTGGCTCCAGGAAGGCAAAGTAGGTGGCTACATGATAGCTGTGGGTGCAGGGAGTACACACCCAACGCTCAAGCCCATCCAGAAGGCAGGAAAGAAAGATGATCCCAGCTATAAAGCAGGAACATGAGGGACAGTCCCCGCAGCCCCAAGTGCCTGCGGCGATGGGGCAGGTTGCCCCAGCCCCACATTGACTGGCAGAGCCACAGGCAGGCTGCCCACACATGGTGGGGGCTCTTTAGTCACTTTGTGATGAACCTAGCTGAAGAGACCTACTTTAGAGCCATCCTTTCTGCTTCATACCTCAGGTGGCCAGGCTGAAAAGCAATGTTTCCGCAGTGAGGTTTATTGGGAAAATAACATTTTAAAGTACATCCTAGAAATAGCATTTACTGCCACACTGCTTGCAAGAAATATTCACATGACAGAGACAAGTAGCTGCTTTGCCGACTGCTTCAAATACAGGAATCAAAATACCGAACTGTTGACTGACGTGATCTCTCCTCACATGCATCTTTTCTAAAAGTTTCCAAGCTACTTTCCACAACAGATGAAAAAATCCACATTGAACAAATTCTTCCATTCTCTTGAATAGGCAACAGTTCAAGAAACACTGCCAATATGCTCCCCTTCCCTTTTTTTCCTTTCATTGCTGTGCTTTCTCTATATATCTATGGTGACTTGATTCTGACTTTATTACTTTTTTTTTTTTTTTTTTGCTGTTTTGGAGCGTTTTTTAAAAGTATTTAGCTTCTTGATGCATCACTCCGGTTTCCTCCACACACACACTCTTCTAGACATGACCTCAAATGTACCTTGTCCTGACTTTCTGCTTTACACCAGGGACATAGTATCCACTCATCCATCACTTTCTACAGAATTACGTGTTCACATAGGAACAGGCTGCTCCCGGTAGAGTGGGTTTTAAGGAAAACCTCCTCTTTCTGCCATGCATTTAACTGATGTAATTCTGCACCCCTCAGTCTATACACACAGCTTCACCGTCTGGGAGAGATAAGCACTTTCCCGTATCAGCCAGGAAGAACAGGCCGTTGCCACGACCACTGCAACAGCTACAGAGTCATTTTGGTGCCTCTGATTTTCCTTCCTCCTGCACTTTTTCCAGCTCCTCCAGGACCTCCCTCAACAGGTCCTCACTTCAGCTGCAGGTAACAACCCCGCGATTCCCTGGACTCCTACTGCCTTGCAATCTAAGTCCAGCTGTGCTTCCCGCACTCAAGCACTCCTTGGCACAGCTCCTGCCAACCCTGTGTAACGACTGCTGACCCTACTGGTTGGAGCCTCCCACTGACACTGCTCAGCCATGTAAACTGAGAAGCGGGGTGATTTCTCTGCTAGGCAGGCAGACCAATCAGGTCAGAGTATCAATCAATTATTGAGCACAGCACTCAGCATCAACTGATTACGGGGGATTAAATTTAGATGAGTTAATTTGGGAACTGGAGAAACACTGATTTCTCTCATGCTTTTTAGGAGGACCTGATAGTGACTGAGTTTTGTGGTTCAGGTAGCAGGGGGATTTTAGCTACGGGCTGGAGCCACAGACCCTGGAATACTTTAGCCTGGTGAAGACATTCACTTGCTTGGGCTCGGTAAGGGGTGTGCATTTAAAGCTCACTTCAATCTTTGGCTGCACAGTCCTCCCTATCTAGCTGTTGTATTAATCAGTTGATAGATCAGTACTAATGTCTATATTGTGCATTCCTAATAAGTGCCTTTCCCGATAACGCAGCTGCTGAAGATATCCTTTTGCTTTCACAAGCAGCGCTTCCCCCTCCCAATTCCCACCCTCTGTGTTGATTTCATAGCTCCAGATTTTGTGCCAAAGACTTAAGAGAATTAGCAAAACTAAATACAGACACTAAAGGTAGTAATATGACTTTTTGGGATTATGGAATGTAAACAGAAAGTGTCTCAAATGAAAAGGCTAACCTTATACTACTTAAAAAAAAAACCCAACAAAACAAACAAAAAAAAAGCCACCCCACCAAACCAGGAAATTTTATAATTCCATGGCTGTTTGCAACAAATCTCCTAGGTTCTGCTGTCTTGCTATAGACTGTCATGAGAAACTTTTAACAGAATTTGATCATTTCTTTCCATTTTGTATAGTATACAGCAGAGTATGTCAAAGACATGTTCAGGGCAGGGCCTGAGTCTAACCATCACTTGCAGAAAGGAGGGGGGACATGTACCACGTAAACATGCTCAGACCCACAATTGTGGAATCCGTTTGTGAAAGGTCTGACCATTTCTAGGTAGCATGGGTAGCATGGACACCTCCAAAAAGTGCCAGAAACATTTTCATGAGCTTATTACACATTTAAGTTACACAGCTTCCCATCTTTAGAGCTACCCCTTGATTTTTAAATCCACTCACTGTTGTAGCCACTGCAGCTGCTAGTCTCTGCCGGCGTCGTGTTGTGCTGAACTGGCCCTTCGGTGCCGGCCCTTCCTGACAGTGAATGCAAGAAGAGAAGGAAGTAGAAAAAGAGAAGGGAAGGGGTGATGGGACACAGGAAGATGAAAGGTGATCAGAAAAGGGAGAGGGAGAGTCTTTAAGTGGAGTTCAATTTTGTTAACTCTTATGGCCTATACATTCTGAGGACATATCACATGTTTTCAGTTGTGTATGCCGCAGACAGAAAAAAGCTAGATACTTCACTAAAATTATCTCCAGATGAGTTGGACTGCAGTGCACTCACTAAGACTACCAAAAAAACCCAAAAACAACCCCAAACCTACTAGTATTTCCATTCAGAGTCATGAGGAAATTATGGAATAAGAAAACAAAAAGGATGCTATGGCATGCCAGAAAACACAAAACCCAAACTCCTTCTGGGGGTCACGTGACTATCTAGAAGACGAATTCTGAAAGAGATCACTTTGCATTAGTGGAAGTGCATGAACTGTGGTCACTGAAGATACATGCATCTCAATGGTAAAACTTTTCAGTGCGTATGTTATAGTGAGCTTGCTTATGGGAACATTCCTGTGCACAGCTCTAGCATTTCTGTGTCCATCCTTGAGCCTATTTGTTCATTTTCTCCACACACCACTTTTCTGAGTTCCAACTACTTCTCACATACATTACTGAAGGCTTGGCTTCCAAAGCAATACAAAAACTAGATAAAGCAGCACAAATGAAAACTAAGTATTCCAACAACTACTTCCTTGCCTGCATGCCTAACTTGTGGCCTCATACTGCTTAATTTCACTTTTATTTCACTTTTAATAAAATTTGTCATGGTACATTAAAGTCAAGCAAGTAATTGTCTAATGCAGAGGAGCTCCATACCTATCCTAAAGTCCTTCTATTTAACATCTAATCAAAATGTCATTATTTTGAAGCCATTTTAAGATTTTTAGAAGACTAGAAAAGCCACCTCTCTGCTTTTAGAAAACAATTTTCAATCCCTTTACATTTTTCTTCCCCTATATCTTCACCTAATCCCACTTCAGTGTTTTTAAATCTATATATGTTTTTACTTTTTCTGAAAGCAGCCTGGGCTCCATACAAATATTGATGGTATAGATTGGATAAAAGGACACCATCCTGAAGAACAGAATATTGCAGTTCAATTATCAGCTGAAGTGTCTTACTCCTGTACCATTCCCACTGGTAGGGTTGCTGCATCTGAGAATGGCCATACCCTTCACCCTCTGGCTGATGCTAGCAGCAGTGATACTGACAACGGAAGGGTAGTCTAATGATCACAGTAAGAGAAGCCTTGCTTTGTAATATTTTATAAAATTCTCACATTAAAAAACACAAACATAGCCTCTAAAATATAGAGTATAAACTTTGATGAAGCACAGAACGCATTATCTGTATAATGTGAAGCTCTTTGTGCTCTACACAAGTATGTCTATCCTGTGAAAAAGAGTTTGGAAGAATACTCTTGTTTAACTAATAGGGACATACACAAATATATATATGTTCAGAGAGAGACATGCACAAAATATATACAATATTAAAATGGGAACAATGAGCTCTACAGAACTGCATGCTCCTCTCAAGACAATAGAAAGCAAGGTCATAATCTGAGTTACCATATAAAAAAAATACTTATTTAAGGGAAAAAGTAATAAGCCAGTCTTTGGGTCTGTTTTCATTTCTGAGCGGAAAGCTTCAGTAGAGCAAGATGACTTTTCAGGTTGCTCCATAAAGTTCTCTATTATACTACTTCCCCCCCTCACCCCCTGAAAAAAAAAAAAAAAAAAAAAAATCAGTCTTGGAACTTCACAACTCTGAGCTTTTGAGGGAAATTTCATCAATATTAGTTCATTTTATTGTTTTTCAGTAATATTTTTCTTCTTTTGAAGATCTTTAGATTGTCATGAGAATGACAAATTGGTCTTTTACCCGAAGGGGGAAAAAAAAAAACCAACCCCAAAGCAAACCACAACTCAGTTTTTGTACAAAAGCATCAATTGCAAAATAAATGAATACAGGTCAACTAATCTGTTTTTGCAGGCCATTTTCATAAGACTTTAAATAGGCTTTTTAAAACCAAAATAAACCTCCTTCATAAAAGCAATCTTTCTTCAGAGAGGCAGCCCATGTATTACTCTTGAGTACAGGTCTGTAAATTAAGCTGTTAATTCTGAACAATTTTGCAATACTAAACCTGCAGATGTATACACGCATGCTACGATCAATTTTACTTCAGGGAGTAACCCCACTCTAGTCACTGGGATCAGCTGTGTGAGCAAAGTTAACTGCATACAGAACTAGTATACCTAATAAATATATTAGGTAAATATATATTTTTAAGAAACAAAGCAAGAAGCTTTTCTTACAAGAAAAAGTATGTTTTAAACACCCTATACATCTAGCATTCATACTGAAGAATGTGTTAGCAGGAATACAACATAAGCTATCTTATTAATAAAAAACTGGTAACAAGTACAACGCAAAATCTAGATGGGAGAATTCTCTCCGCATCTTACACAGCGGATGCTGAGCTAGCAAAAATTACACCCTCGTTCCCCATTACTCATGAACAAGACATCTATATAGAGAGCTTGCTAATTTTTATGCTCCCCAGAAGGATTCCCCAGAACATCATACTATCAGAGGATCTTTTGATGGTAGTTAACAACTGCTTATTCTAAAATAAATAGGTGCAAGTACTTAAAATTGGATTAATAGTGCAACAAGCTTAAAGTTAGTATGTTAGTATTACCATTTTTCCCTAAAACTAATGAAATCTATGGAAGTATGGGGAAAGGAAATGGACAAAAGAAGTTTTCTTAGTACCAAATGTCAACCATTTAATAGCAAATCATGAGTAGGCACCATGAAGAAACAAATTAGACAAAGATCACAAATTATACAAAGTGATTCTCAGTAGCGTATTCCCTGATAAACAGTTTATGAAGAGTTGGAGTAGTCTTGAAAAAATGGCCAATAAGGAAGGTCAATGAAGCTAGAAGGCATGGCTAACAGAAGAACAAAATGGGACTGTAAGCTTAAAAAGCACCTAGGCATGGGAGGAAATCCATGTTTTAGTGGAACGTCAACATGAGAAAATTAGGAATAATACAATGAGTCAAAGTGAGGCCATCTTCCACAGATCACACCTTTAGACCACTCATGGGACAGGACAGTCCTTGGAAGAATAAACGGTGTGTTGAACCCATCAAACTAGGCAAGATAATGGAGCAGCCAGAAAGAAGTGTTCACCTTCCCTATAATTTAGAATAATTGTATTGTTTCTGTTTCACTGCAAATTAATTTATAAATCATCATCATTAAGTCATCAATAACTTAATGCTTTGCTCTAACAAAATAAGCTTTACATTTCCAGCATTAAGTTTGCCAGGAGTTAATGCTGACCCAGGTTAGGCAGAGTTCATTATCGACCCAGAAAAGACAGATCCATGTAGAACAGTGCTATGCACACAAACTCTCCCTGGGAAACCTGCAAACCAACCGTATTTCAGAATTTCAGGAGCTGAGGCTCCTGCCAAACCACAAACAGCAGTTTGAGAGTCAGGTGCCAAAATGACGGAAGCTCAGACCAGTGACCAGTGTCACTTTGGTAAAGTGCAGGCAACATAGGAACAGCTCATAATTCCTTGTGATCATCAAACATTGACTGCTTTCATCATTTTTCTCATCATTTTTGTGGAGAGGAATTTCTCTAAGACCACTGTGGCATGAAAGAAGAACATGCCAGTGTTGACTCTGTCTCTTCATAGGCACCAAGTACTTGCAGCCATTTTCCTGATATTTTTATTTGCCTATGTTTTTCAGCAGCAGGGAAACACAGTGATCCTTCAAATGCAGGTAATAGGACACAACATCAATCACCAAAATTCCTTTGTTAATAACCCTTTTTAATCCTAACTGATGCTTCATTGTTCAACCTACTGTGATTTATCTAGCATAACAGGTAGAAAGAAAAAATGACATACAACTGCAATGAGAAAGCTGATGCAACTACAATTTCTTCTTTCCTTAAGATTATTAATCTTAAATGAGTCACAGAAAACTCCTTATTGTATCTCTAGAGGAGATATTAAAAGCTGTCAAAGATTGCATGAATTTCTAGAACTTAAATGGATCAGAAGTTTCTGACATTTATTTATTCTGTAGCAGACAGCACAGTGGTGATTGTTAGCTCCGTAAGTCAGTTGAATATAGTCTTTGTTATCAGTTGCTCAATTATAAAAAAGAATAGGTTTCGGATTAGGCCTCTGAACACACAACTGCTTCTGACAAAACACAGTAAGACACTCTGGATCTAGCAGTAACACAAGCTATTATGCTTATTTCTGTGCTTTTACTTTGCAGCTCTAAGGCAGGATGGGGTAAATTCTTTCTTCATGTAACGTGTTTTTTGGCTTATTCAGTTTGTTTCCATACTAAGCCTTTTCCACAAGAGAAGGCTTATGAAAATACTTCTCATTGGTAACAATCCTAGTATAGATCTTAACAAAGACAACTGGTGTGTTTAGTATTTCAGTCATGTTTTCTCCTTTTAACTTGATGTCACCTGTTCAACTGCCCTTCTTGGCAAGTTTGAGATAGAACATCAGTATCCCTGTGTGCTGCATGCATACTGCTTTTTTTGCACCTTAATTGACTAGTTTTCAGATCCCACTCCTTTCCATAGATGGCAATGTTTTCATAGGAACGAAAGTAAAATCAATACTTTTCTCACTACCTTCTCTAGGTTACTGAGATTTAATTTACTTCATCAGGAGCATACGAGACAGTACATTGACTTCCTACTTTTAGCTAATACATCATTTCATGCTTAAAAGTTAATCTAGAAGTACAGTGAAAAGTAAAGTATTGTGCGTTCAGTACCTGAAGTTGAATTTTTGCATCTTTGCTGACACTTTTTGTTCTCCATCGTCTCGTGACCCGCTTGTCTTTCTTTGAAATATCTACACAGTTAGCCTACATTACACAAATAGTTAAAAGCGACAAAATACTTTTAAGTTGACACAAGCAACACAGACAGTAGAGCAAGTTAGTAAAGAATTGTAGCATTAGACATCTACAAGTTAGAAAGTAAGGAAAAGAACACCACTGCGGGGGCTCGCGACTACAGCAGTGACCAGCTGCAGCTATCCATACACTTCTGTGAACACATGGTATATTTAGGTCATTTAGCGAAACTACTGGAATACTTTCTTCATGAGTGCACAATATTTAGGACCAGACCTTGAAATCCTCATGGATTTCTATTTTGGTACTACTCAGAGACACGTAGAGTTCAACTCTTGCCGAAATCAATGGTAAGTCCTGTTACCTCATGGGAACTAGACTTACCAACGCACCAACACCACTGGGAGATTTGTGTACTCAAGGGGACTGAGAGAAAAGGGAAGAAAGGATTTAGGATCTGCTGTTGCTTTCTTGTGGTCAAGAGGAAAACTCATCCTGAACTGAGAAACTGTCCAACCCTTGGGACCTTTGTACTATACCCTCTTTTCTAGAGCATGCACCTTCATCTTTGAGGGTCTTTCGGTCTCCACTCCTTAAAAACTTAAAATGATATCTCACTCAGCACAACAAAAACTCCTTAAATACAATTTCAATGTATACGTGTATTTGTATCGTAACAGTTCTCCGTTTTGCTTTGCAAATGACTTAATCTTTGATTTGTTCTATTTAACTCAAATAATTAATACGTCTTAATTATTTTTGACACATGTAACATTATTTCCCATGATTAAGATAAACACATAAGATAAGCCTTTCATCCAAGAGTTACTATGATTTCAGGAAATCATTGAGTTAACAGGCATCTCTGTATTTCTCTTAACACAAATAAATGTTTCAGAGTGATGATTTATGTTCAAGCATACTTACCTGCATGTCTGTGAAATTTGGTGCTGACTGAGTTCTCTGTAGTATTTCTAAATTTTGAAGAAGTTTACTGAGTTCCACGAGGTTTGACTGACAATGAGCAAGATCTAACAGATATAAACCAAAAATACATTAGGTGCTTCAGTTCAGACTTTTTATTTTTGCCATGATGTCCATCATTGGCACTTCATTGCATTATAAAAGTTAAACGTCTAAATCCCTAGTAGTAAGGCATCTAAGTAAAAGCTTTATTCTTAGAGATGTTAAGCACTTGTTATTTCTATGAGAGTCAGTAACAAGTCTGGACCTGAAATGTTGATCATCTCTTAACAATGATATCCATTAAGATAATACAGATTATTAAGATAAATTTTAAAAGCAACATCCCAAAACATGCAGAGAGGGAAGTTCCCACCACAAGCATCGAATTACCTTAACCACTCTACTGACTGTTTCTTATTTTATATCAACAAGAAGTTTTGCTGAAAGAACAAGGCATGAAAAGGTAAGGACTAACCCTCTGCACATCTGTCCATCTCTTCAGAGTCCTGCAACCAGGCTGCTACTTTGCTCTGACCAGTAGTGCAGGTGGCAGGAAGGCTGTTACTGCAAGGTATGGGAGACTGCCAGGGGAAACTATTTTGTTGCACCTAAGACATAATAAAATGCTTAAATTTACTCTTGCTATGTTGCTCAGTCAGCGTAGTCACCATACTACTTCAGAATAAGAAAACAAAACATGCATCGTGATTTCAGTGACTTCTGTGATTTGACTGTATAGTTCCCCAGGCAGCATATTTTTCTGTACAGCCTGTTGGAGAACCGAACCGAGAACCTCACAAGCAAACTGTGTTTGCTAATCACCAGTTACAAAAGCTGCTGTTTAAGAGGAAGAACATTATAAAATAGTAAAGAGACAGATTTATCCTTGATGACAAAGGCAAGTGCAAATTGTTCTGGGGATGGTGAATTCTTTGCAAGATCTCTACAGCAGCCCATTAATGAAGGCTGCAGTAAGGCTAAATTAGAGTCCTTCAGCTGCACACACTCACAGCTTTTTGCTGGCCATTGGTTCCCACAGTGGAAACTTCTCTCTGTGGGCATTACAAGCAGAGCCCACTGAAGCTGCCCATGAGCAAGCCCAGCGGGTATAAGTTTTCATCAAAAGAACACTACGTACCTTTCCATCCGACACATTAGCAGCTGGTGAAGACTCTGTAGTAGAGGCTGAAGGGAATATATGAAAACTAGCATCTCTTGGAGATCTCACAATCTCATTCTGACGGTACAACCGGTGGTGGCGTAATTTTGAAACCCATGCATCAAATGAATCCTGGGACTTCACCTGGAAACAAATTCACTATCAAGAAAGCATTCAATATACTACTTTTCTGCACATCTTTTACAGTTTTATTTATTTCCACTGTGGATGGAAAGAGAGTAACTATTTGCACCACTTTTTACCTTCAGATGATAGATGTGTTCTTCTGTGTCAAGATCTATTCTACGAGCCTTCTTTTTTATAGACATAACTGATAAACCAACATCAATGCTCCCATGGACTTTGCCTTTCTGTATCTAAAATCAAAAATCAGAGTAAGAAATTGGTAGTATGATGCACTTTGCTATATTTAACAGAAAAATATCCGCTGCTGAAATTATTTCCCATTTTATGAACATTTTAATATAAAGCTATATTAAAAAATAAAACCTGTAGTTAGACTAACCACTTACTATTTATAGACAGAGAAAAGCATCTTACAAGAAGTGCTCGGTGCAGAGCCAACTCCAAAGTTAAAATGTGTTAGTTCACACCAGTACACAGCTACAGGTAAGTGAGAAGCATAGAAAATTAGACAGTACTCAGCTCCTGCTGCTACCACTTGATAGTTATTGGTATCAGATCTAAGTAATTTAACGCTACCCTTTACATCTCTTGAGTACACTGTAATCACTTCTCTGTCCTAACCACATATCTCAGAATAATCAGCTCTGACTGACATAAAAATTGAAAAAGAAAAGTACATGGTCAGGCTAATCTCTCAAGCACCTTCGTTACATAAACTACTTTAAAGTAATGCAGTTTTTATTTTCATAGAAGTAAGAAAAGGTAGAACTCTTGACAATACAACTCAGCCAAAACTTTACATGCTTTCCATATACAGATCTCTCTCTGAATCCATCAACAACTTTATGTGCGTGCTGTCATAAATATGCCTAGAGTGAGTATAAGATTTAATCACCCTGGTAGGCTGAATTCCAATACAAATTTTAAAATGGTCTTCAACTTTACTTACATCAATTGGTGACTTTGAATATTTCAACATTCCATTATCCAGGACAAAAAATCTCTGGGGGAAAAAAAAAAAAAAAAGAAAGAAAAATTCTTTCTTAATGAGCAGATGCAATTTAAGCTGTATACAATAATTCATCTGCAAAAGAAAAGGATTACTCTGTAGCAATTAAGGAATGTCTGTGGGTGGGAAAGAGAGGATAAATAAAAGTCCCTCCCCATCTTTCCTGTAGGCCCCCTTTACTGGAAGGTCGCTGTAAGGTCTCCCCGGAGCCTTCTTTTCTCCAGGCTGAACAACCCCAACTCTCTCAGCCTCTCCTCACAGGAGAGGTGCTCCAGCCCTCGGATCATCTTTGTGGCCCTCCTCTGGACCTGCTCTAACAGGTCCGTGTCTTTCCTATGTTGAGGGCTTCAGACCTGGATGCAGTACTCCAGGTGGGGTCTCACCAGAGCAGAGTAGGGGGGAAGAATCACCTCTCTTGACCTACTGGCAACACTTCTGATGCAGCCCAGGATACAGCTGGCCATGTGGGCTGCAATCACACATTGCCAGCTCACGTTGAACTTCTCATCAATCAGTACCCCCATATTTCATTCCAAAGCATACTGCACTTCAGAAAACTATAAGCTACTCTAAATTAATATCCAGAAAATTATAAACTACCTTATACGCTACTAAAGCACATTCATAACTGTCAGATATGACACGCAGTGTTCAATAGACAGAGGATGCTATGGCTTTGCTAGCAGATCACTAGCACAGCACATGCTGCAATTACTATCTCTGGAATTCCTCATTGGGCTCTCAGCAAAGTATTGTTAGGGAAACTGCAGGATATCAAGGCAACAGTTAAAAAAAAAAACCAAACGAAACTTATTAACCAAGTCACAGTTCATAACACAAGTTCAGCTTCTAGATCCTTAAGTGAAATATAAGGCAGAGTAGAGGGGGATGCTGAACTGTGAAGCTCTTGATCACATTAAAATTATTTACACAGGTAACTTCTCTAAAATCAGCATGAAAAACAGATCATCGGTAGCAATCTCCTTCATAGCACTGTGAAAGTTGGACTCCTCTTGCTCTCCTATAAAGTTCCTTATCAAAACAGACACTTGTCCAAGAAACAACACATTAACGTAATGTATTTGAAAGAAGTGCAATCAGTGGGTTATTCTATATATTCTTATACATCTGATTAGTTGTTTCAGGTTTTTTGGGGGGTGTTTTGTTGGGGGTTTGTTTGTTTGGAGGGTTTTTTTGTGTGCTTGTTTGTGTAGGTTTTTTTAAATAAGCTCTCCTTTTCTGTTCTTTAGTGTTTCAAGTATGTCAGTTTGAAATCCTTTAATCTCCCTATACTAAATTCATGTAGTGCATACGTATTTGGTTGCTGAAACTACAAACTATAGTTAAGTAAAACAAAACCAAAAAAAAAATCTAGGATAGATAGGTATGCACAAAAAAGAGTGGCAGGTATATGTATAAGTTAGTATAATGTTCAGAAAGAACAGAGAAATTAGGGGGAAGTGTCATTTATACTTGTATGGACTGCATTTGGACTCAGACCTAAGTCCCCCCGTGTATAGCAAAAAAACAAAGTTAATTCTTTCCCAGAAAAAACACCATGTATAACAAATGGTTTCACTACCCTTTGCAGCAAAATGCATTCCGTACTAGAAAATTATCCTGCTTCAAGTACCCTCAGCTACAAAAAGATGGGTGAGCGTCAATACCACACATCTTGTTGCTAAAAGGGGGGGGAAAATGTAATTACTATGGTATGAAATGCAGACAAAAGAGTTTATGAAGACCAGGTTTAGGACTGAAAAAAAAGGTAGAATTATGCATGGAGAATTGCCTCCAAATTAACCAAATAGAAACTGGAGATTTGGGGTTGAGTTTTGGGATGTTTTGGGTTTTTTTAAATTGAGACATCTAATGGCAAAAGTGCCTAGTCGCACTGCATACCCACACAAAAGACTGTAATCAAGAAGACAAACAAAATTCAGGGACAAAGCTGAGCAAATCTGCCAAGTCAGCATGCCTGAAGGGGAACACTCTTCCGGACGAACACCTTGGGTCCGTGCCCCTCAGATCTCCCCTGCTATCACGAAATCCTGTGTACTTTAATGTAAACCCAGTGCAATTTTGCAGTACGTGGCTGCATTTTGTTATAATACATTGGAAATTACGAAAGGCATATTGATTAAACCTCTTAAACCACAAGGCATCTGCTGCATTATTTACAACTTCTGCCAGGATTTTGCATACAAAATTAGGCAGCAGGCACTGCATTTGGAAGCCATGAGCTGTGTGTGCAAGCTAATTCTTTAAACAAGAAAAAGTCATACAGCAAAATCCTGGGCATTTATTTGACATCCTAATTTCCTCTAGACAGAAAAAAATCCAACTCATGAAATGAAGTAATAATCTTTTGACTGTGTTACGCGACATTTACCTTGTGCCAACCTTTTAAAGGCCATTTTCTCTTTTTCAGCATGAAACCTTCATGTTTGTCTGGCTTCTGGACATTGGTCTGGCCTATTTTCAGACCCTCTATGATTTCCCAGCTGTCAGGTTCCTGGTGAAAAAATATGAAGACACATTGATTAATTAACTGTGCACACACATGATGAAAAATTGCAATCCAAATACATGAAAACAGGACAAAATTGTGGCTGAGCTAAGTATAAGAAAGGTCAGACCTGCTTCTGGAGATAACGATGTAAAAGTGCAGGTGGCTCTGACTACCTGTTAAATCTATCCAGAAGGCACCCCGCAAATTAGCACCCCACTGCAAGAACTAAAAAGACTGAAGAGATTTTGAAAGCGGTGTATGGGCAGAATCTGCATTTTAAAAATGTATCTTTACTCAGAGTGTTTGTTCTCTAAAAAAGATGGGACTGTGAGACAAAATGAGAAAGAAACCATACTACCAAATACATGGGCATACATTAACAGTGCCCTTTGTGGTATTTCCTGATTATAACAAATTGTAAATTTTCTGATCTTTAAGTACAAGCTCCATTGATTCTGGATACATTTTATGACAGTTTCTCAGGCTTATTATGAAATTTTCAGAAATCTGCAAAAGGAAAATTATTTTTTTTTTCAAGTTTTTCTGGATACATTCTCACTGTATTAAGAGAAATTTATAGGAAGCTAAATAATTTTCTCTCTATAGAAAATAATTTCAGGTACAACCAGCTGTATGCCTTCCAGGGATCCAATTGCATTTCTTGTCCATACCACTTCTTACACGTGATGACTTGTACAACTCAAGACAGACTTATAATATACCATACTGAACAGCTAAAGAACAGTATTTTTAAAAAGAAGACATACCTTTATTTCTATCTTCTTGCTACTCCTGTAATTAATAAATTCTGTACCAATTTAAAAATCTCCTACGACCTGCTCATTAAGACTCTATTTTACTAATTGTATCCTGCAAAGTTGTGAACTTGCATTTTCTCAGATGATCTGTCAAAACTCCCAGCAATGTTATGAACAGTTATTGAGGGAGGAAGGAGGTCATACAGCATCAAACATTTAAAGGGTAAAAAAAATTGACTCCTCCATTTCCCATAAAACTGTTCAAAGCCAAGCACTACCAGTCTTTCGTAACACCTCCAAGTTACACAGCCCTGATAATGTTAACATTACTATTATGAAAATACTATTTCAAAAGTAAGAAGGGTGAAAAGCTCTATCCCAAATATATTACTGCAGTAAATTTTAATAGAAATGTTTACTCAGTTTAGTTTTCCTTGCATAACTATAAACTGGAACTATCCCAGTGCCTGTAAATGCCGTGCTCAAAACCCACCATTTTAACTTCCCTCTGTTTTGCTTGGGAATTCTATTTCCACTGCTGTAGAGGGAAACACATGTGCATCA